TGGGTAGTGTGGCTCAGTGGATTGAGTGCCAGCCTGGGAACCAAAAGGTTCAATTCCTTATCAGGGCACATGCCTGGGTTGCGGGCCAGGTTCCTAGTTGGGGCATGCAAGAGGCAACCAACGGATCAATGTTTCTCTCTTTCTCCTTTTCCTCGCTCTAAAAACAAATAAATAAAATCTTTAAAAAAGGGAGTTGGAAATTTTTAGTTTAGGTAATAGCTCATAAGCTTAGTAGTCAATGCAGATAAAAAGCTATTGTTCCAGGAGCTGAAGGTACGACCCACCTGGACTCCAGGACACCGTAAGCACTTCCACCTTTGTGCCTGGGAAGGTCTGTGAGCAATCAAGATGGTATCTGAGCCATTGTGCTCCAGGGTGACATGTCCACATCCAGGATAAAGACCACTGCCCAGGACACAGATGAAAGCATGCTGTAGCTTTTATCTGATTAACCTTTTCCCTGAATTCCAAACCCCTTACCTACACTTTTCTTCTCCATATGAAACGGGTCAGTTTAAAATGGAATTTAAGATGGTGTACATGACCCGCCACCTTCTCAGATCGCTGGCCATCTGAATAAAACATCCAGAAAGATTCAATCCCTGCTTCTGCTCATTGGGTCTGGTAGGTGACAGGCAGCACAACCGCTGCTTTTCTCGTTTCAGTTGGTGTATGTTAAGTTTCTTGATGGGTGTTTAAGTGTAGGCTGACTTAGGTTGAGATGTGTGATGTGGTCTGGGCCACTGGGGTGACCTCTATTTTATGGGTTCCAATATATGAATTAACTTTATCAGCACAAAAAAAAACAGAAAATATGAAAAATGCAAAAATTAAAGTTTTTTGTGTTTCTGTTTTAGAAGATATATTTTATGTCTATGTAAGCAAATGTGTATATATCTTTTCTACCTGGAATAGAGTTTGGCATGGGAAGCGGGAAGGGGACTAGGCAATGGAAATAAGACATACCTCAAAGAACCCACCTTGACTATAAAGCTAGCAGTCTCCAACTAATAAGCTGATTTTTTAATGAGATTATTTAATTTTGCAATACAAAAGCAAAAAAATTCTGGTATTATTTAATCTATCTGTGTTGCTATTTCTCTGGCAGGTGGTGGCAAAATCCTATTAGTTCAGTTACAGAACTTTATATTAGACACAACTCTTCCCCTTGGGTCCTAATTAAACGAGGTTGAATCAACTTTCTGCCTATAGCATTTGCGCTTTAAAACACAAAACTATTGCATTATTCTGCATACCCCTGGAAAATTTTAAAAAGAGAATAAATAGTCTCTCTTAAAGGGTTAAATTTAGAAAAAAATTTAAACCCACTGGAAAATGGCTTTCACATTCCAAAGGATGAGGAAGGAAAACTATGAAATCATTTTGAATGGATTTGTTCAGCAGGGGAAGAGCTGGCTCATTTTCCACGTGGGCTGCCAAGTTCACCAGACATGGGGGGGAGATGATTTTACTCTTACTTTCTTACCTACATACGTGTTTAAACTGTAGTCTTATGGAAATGAAAATCCCATTTGGAGATCATATTTTTCAGATGGATTTAATTTATATACCATTTGGCCAAGTCAATCAGACCAGACTTAGTAGATGGCTTTTCTCATTATGACATTGTGGGCTTTGCTTAGGGATCATTTTTATAAGTTACAGTGAGTCAGTTTGGCAAGCACTGCATCTGATTTAGGCTTTGCAACTAATTATCTTTGGGCTGCATTAAAATTTTCTCTTGAGCAATAATTATATTGCCTCTCTTTAAAAGCAAACTTTCTGAATCATCATCAGATTTTACTTTCTAAAATCTAGAATTTCCCCCATATTCATGGTAGCTAAATATGCTCAAGGGAACTGATTTCCGGCTGTAGCTTGTTTGTGAGGTTGTCAGAAATGTGCAAGAATGGAGCAGACCAGGGCAAGGAAATGGTACCTTTACAACCTCTCTTCGGAGATCAGACTCCATCTCAGTCTAAGATATGTCCCAGTGTCTTAACATCACTGCTAAGCTTCCTTTTCCCTATTGCTTGAAAACATAAATGAATTATTTACTCTGTTTTGCAGAGTGGAAGCCTGTTGGATTTAACAGACAATGGCGTGCCAGTATGTGCACCCACACTTAAATATGCACCCTGGCATTAATGCAAGAAATTTTCACTGCTCTTCTCTCCTTCAAGGGAAGCTGAAGTAAAGCAAAACTCCTGCTGCTTCATTATGTCAAAGGGTAGTGTCTCCCATTAGTAAACCCACAGAAAGCAAGGGCTTCCTGCCAGCCAAATGGTGTGGATGTGTTGGCGGCAAACCTCCAGGTGTCAGACCGGTGGTGTCAGACCAGACCTTGGTTCAGCAACCTCAGTACTTGAATTCTGGCTAAAAAAGAATTCAGAGCCAAGACTTGAATTATAAGAGCAAGTTTATTTAGAAAGTCACAGGGGGGAAAATGATTTTTTAAAAAGGAAAAACATAATAAAACAAATTTTAAAAATAGAAAGTCATGAAGATAGAAGAAGTGAGCCATAGTCTTCTATGGGCTCAGGAAACAAGTTACAGAGGCAAGAGAAGAGCCCTTGGAGCTTAGGAGAAAGAGAGAGGCAAGGCAAATGCTCCCAGGGGAGAAGGTGGGGAAAGGTGCTGACTGGGGGGGCTGTGAGGGAGGCTGCCGAGCTCTAGGGATGGAACCTCACTGGGACCTCCCCGGGAGGGTGTTTCACTGGAGGGCTCTGGGAAAGATTCCAATAGAATATTCATCAGCTTTCCAGGTGTGTCCCTTCAGGGTCGTGGTCTCTACCGATTGGTCAGTGCCAGGGCAGGGGTCATTAGTCAAAGCAGTTGGTTCTGATGTCAGCCAAGGCATTGCTTGTCTGGTTTTGCTGTGTTCCTGGACCTGGAGCCGAAACACAACTGAGACCTAGATGTTCTTGATGTGGGTCAGAACCTCATTGTCCTGGGGGCTTAATGCTTAAGGGCTGTTCTCTGGCCTCTTTGTTCCTTCCAGCTCCTTGACTAGCAGCACACCTGGGGAGGAAAGGTCAGGGGAGGTTCTGAATCACATGACCGGTGATGTGAAGGGTCAGGGAGTCTAAACCACACGACCAGAGATATGATAGGGGAGGAAATGTCACCCTAGGGCGGGATCCCTGTTTTGACAATCATGCCTGTTGCTAGACACCTGGGGCTTTATGTCCTGGTGACCTTCTGTACCTGGCCCATCAACGTTGTTCTGCTCTTATCTAACTACCGACCACAAATGGAATAGATTCCAATATTTGAGACAGAACCTGAGGGTGCCTGGTCCTTTACAGACGGTTTCTCTAGCTGAGAGAGCCAATGAGAACTCCCCCACTCTCCACAGCCTCCTCGTGCTTCTAGGAATTGCTTCTCTCCTGTTTCCAAGCTTTGTCCATCCCTTTCTGCTACCAAAAAAGATTTCTGAATTCTTCAGCATTTTTTGCCAGCGACCCTACAAATCCCAGCATATAGTTGGTGTCCTGAAAATATTTGTGGAATAAATACAAATACTAAATTATGGCCATATGTGACCTGTTTTGCCAGACTGTTGAAAATGATCTGACCTGTTTCTGCCCACATGGCTCTTCATAGGTAAGCATTCTGGGGTGGGAAGTGTTTTTGAAGACCTTTCATTGCTATGAGCTTTATGACATCTGTCATTGACACACCAGTACATGTAGATAGATGCATTTGAGGCAGAGGAGGGAAAGGTTAACATGCTTTACAAGTACTAAAATGCACTAATTTGTTATGGGCAAACTAACTTTTGTTTCTGTAAAGTTAACTGCCATATCAGTGGCAGAGAAGTTGATGACAACAAAGGTTAGGTTCACTGAAAGCTCTCAGGAATGCTAACAGATGTGAAATGCACACCAGTTTACTGACAGATAAAGCACTGGCAAGGCTATTTAGAAAATGATTAGAAGTCAGTGTGTGGGAGCTTGGACCATAATTTGGGAGTGGAACTTTGGAAACTAAGTCTGCTAAACAAACAAACAAAAAAACAAACATACTCTCATATTTTTTAAAACACAAGGGAGATTATCTTAGGATCTCGTGTTCATTATTATTAGCTCAAGGGTTAAAATACCACTACAGCTTATTTGAGAAATCACAATATTAAGACTGGTCAAGGGAGAGGGTTTGGCTCACCACCAGCATGGAAACCCTCTGGGTGTGCAGCGTGGTGCCTGGACTGATGGGCCCCGTCTCAGTGAGCCTCAAGCTGCGCAGATATCCACATGGGCTAGAGATGGACGAGAGAATGAAGAAAACGCAAAGAAGGAATTTCTTCTTTTGCCTTAAGTTCTTACCTCTTACAGAGCCAGAGGAGCCTGTGGATGAAAAGGGGGTGCTGTAATAAGTCATATATTCCTAACTGGGCGGGCAACAGTAGGTGGTCATGCCCCAAGCATGTGACTTTTTAGTAAAAGGTTTATCTTTGCCTCCAGCAAGCCCTGTTCATTGTTTCTATGCATCTAGGTTAACACACACTTTTTTAAAATCAATATCACAGCATTACTTTATTTTTCAATTACAGTTGATATTCAATGTTATTTTATATTAGTTTCAGGTATACAACATAGTGGTCAGACAATAATATAATTTACAAAGTGATCCCCTTGTTCCTCCCCACTAATTCTAGTACCCACCTGGCACCATCCATAGTTATTACAGTATTCTTGACTATACTTCTTATGCTGTACTTTCCATCCCTGAGGAAAGTCAGCACAGTTTGTCTTTCCCCATTTATTCTTTTAAAAAATTACCTTGTTAATTTTAACCTTTTTTAATTTAATTTTTATTTTTTTAACACAGCTTGGAAATGCCTCTTTTCAGACCCCTCCTTCTAAGAGGTAACCATCCTCAAGGGAGCACATAGTCTCATTAACTATCCTGTAATGCAGTTCCTGCCTTGCTTTCTCCCACCTGCACAAGGTCTTCTTTCCCTCCATTATTTTCAAAAGCATAAAGGAAACGGCAGAGCATGGTAGTGGATCTATTGGTGGGCTCTCCTCTGTGGCCTCTCATAGGGCACCCATGCCAGAGTGAATTGCAGCCTCGCACCATTGGGCTGCGTACCTGTGGGCTGTAAGCACTGAAGCAGGTTGTATGTGTGGGAAAAACAAACAAACAGAAAACAAAGAAACCACAAAATGCACATCCTGTAGAACATTTGAGATCTTGCTTTCTGGCACATGTTGTCATTTTGGGCTCAAATGGACTTTTATAAAAATTCTCTACAGGTTTGGACATTTCTTACCTTGATAATCCCTGGGAATCTGGGTAGGGCCTTTTTGCATCTCTAAGTGGGGATTTTACAAATTTCAACCTTGTAGAGTCAGGAAGATTAAATGAATAAATTCATGTAAAGTTCTTAGAACAATACCTGGCAGAAGTAAAAACTGAATGCTCATTATTAATCATCATCATCTCAGGTCCTGGCAGATCTGTGATCTCCAGCACTGCTGGACTGTCTCCTAAAGAAAACATATATTAAATTTCTGTTAATTTCTTTTAGAGAAACTGGCATTTAATGAGCACCAACTATACCACAGGCAGAAAGCACTTTTATATCTACATACTGTTTTACTCCTCACAATAGCTAAAAAAGTCTTCCTTATTACACACAATTTTTTAACCCTCACCGAGGATATGTTTATTGATTTTTAGAGAGAGAGAAAGAGAAACATCAATGTGAAAGAGAAACACTGATCAGTTGCCTCCCGTACTTGTCCTGACAGGGGTTTGAACCCACAACTTTTTGGTGTACGGACCACAATCCAACCAACTGAGCCACCCAGCCAGGGCTGATTTCCAAAGTTTTTTTACGATGGAATCTCAAACTGAGTGGGTTTTCAGGATGTGCTGAAATCGTACACATGAAGTGCCTGAGATTTTCAGGGAACAGGATGGATACTAGAGTGAGGTGAGAAAGGTGCCTAGGACACAATATTTACGGAGACGTCGCTCTCAGGTTTGTGCGAGTACAGGTGTGGCACTGAAAGGGCTGCCTTCTTCCCTTTTCTGTCCCAGGATTCTCACCTCACCCGAGTCCTGGCCTCGTCAGCAAACATTGAGTGGCTCAGGATCTCTGTGTGGGCACAAAAGACAGTAGAAAAGTGGTCGAGGCCAAGTCATTAAGAACCTTCAGAGTCATACCTGAGAGTCTGCATGTGATATCATGGGGAAGTGTTTCTCAAATTGTGGTGTTGGAATCATCTGTTGTTTTTTTTAACTTTAGAATTCCCAAATTGATTAGAAAGGTCAGAGAATACGTGTTCGCCTGTCTGAGTCCTTTGGAAAACTTCTTCCTCTTCATGAAAGAGATAAATGAGATAATGGTGAAAATATGTAGTGAAGTTATTGTGAGTTCTGTAATTTTCTTTTTTAGTTGTTTTTTATTTCTAGAGAGAGGAGAAGGAAGGGAGACAGAGAGAGAGAGAAATATCAGTGTGTAAGAGATACATTGATTGGTTGCCTCTTGCACGCAACCCAGGCATGTGCCCTAACTGGGAATCAAAGCAGCAACCTGATGGTTTGCAGGCTGGCACTCAGTCCACTGAGCCACACCGGCCAGGATGGTCTATAATTTTCTTTAATATATTTTAGCAGATATGTTATGATGTTGTGTGTGTACCATTTGTACTAATCTATCACGCAGATGGCTGCAGGATTCTAATCCAGAAGGTACAAGCCAGTAACAACAAAATGCAAGGCAAAATTCTCTCTGGGTCTGGTTTTTAAAAATTCACACTTTGGAAACAAATGTGGAAATTTGAGTACAGATTGAACATTAGAGGATATTAGAGGATTACTGTTTATTTTATTAAGTGTGTAAAGGTATTGATCATGGAGAAATGTATTTAGGTTGTGAAAAGTGCATACTCAAGTATTTAAGGGTGAAATGCCATAATGTCTTTAACTGTATAATACATGAGCAAATATGATAAAATGGTAAGACTTATTAAGGCTCGGTGTTCCTTATACTATTGTCTCTTCCTTCTGTATGTGTAAGAAATGTTCATAATGAAAAGCTAAAGAAAAAAAGAATGCACAGTGCAGGAGTGCTGGTGTTCTGACACTCGGAGACAGCTTTCACAAATGCTCCTGTCACCAGCATCTTGATCAACACTGATGCATTTTAATCTGCTTATTAAATGTGAAGAATGGGTTTTAATGGTAAACACTGTGGCCAGTTGACCAACATGATGAATGTTGGAAATAAGACTTTTTCCTGATGAAATGAAACACACTCAAGGTGTATGGTTATCTAAAAATTAACCACAATAAATAAATAAAATCTTTTAAAAATTTTAAAAATAGAAATAAAAACATTGCAGAGACTCTCCCTGCCCTTGCCTACGTGGAGTGTAGGAATCCCCAGAGGCCCTTGGCCTGTGACCTTTGCAGTGATGCCCTAGGCTAAATCCTTCAAGGGCTCTCTGGCCAAGGACACTGGAGGCTCCTCGGTGCCTGACCCAATTCCCCCTCGAGATGGAATCTTGGCTTTTACCTGAGGAGACATGGGTTGCTTATAGATACCAAAATGAACAGAAAGCCTATGCATACCCACACTGGCTCAGGTTAGTTGACAAGAGAGGATTTGCACATATTAGGTTCTCAGTATTTACATATTACTTTCATTCCCCAGCTTTGAACTTTTTGCTGCTGTCAATAATCCGAGATATGTGGTGTCTTTTTCGCTATCTTTTCAAAACTGCAATATCCCACTATTCTCTTTCACTTACCATACATTCCAGCTAAACTGATTATTCAATTATTGGCTAGAAATTCTAAACACCACCCCCATAGAAATTTCCTTTATTTGAGATGAAGTGTTATACATAATGCAAACACCAATGAACACTGTGATGTCCCTGAAGACCCATTCTGTCCATATTTCTCAGAAGTTGATGTCAAGGGTGCATATTTCATTTTCCTTGCTATTATGAGTAGGAAAATCGCACCATGTTTTTCTTAAATCTCACACCCACAATACTTCTGACACTGGATGTGTGAACCAATTCTCCAACACCAGCTGGGTGTCCTGTGATTCAATTCAGCTCTGACCCTGTCTAACCAGAATCAGAGTCAGATCCTGCATGTTAAGGGCTCAGTCCCACAAGCCTGCCCCCACTTTGCATAAATAAGTGGAAACAACAGCAAAAAAAATCAGTGTTGTTCCCTCTCTCTGTCTCCCTTCCTATCTCTCTCTGAAAATCAATTTTAAAAAAGATGTTTGTGAAATGTGGTAGCTCTGGGCAACCATACTCCCTGCTATGTTGTTATATCGCATCTGTTATAATTTGCTTTAAAATACTTCCTTATAAAAAGTGTAATGTGCTTTGTGTAAATTAACTTTAATCTACACTCCAAGGGAGGTTACTTATCATTAGAGTTACCTATTAGGAATTCATACTCTAGGGGTGGTTAGTTGTAACCTGAAGTACCCTAATCAGAAATCCATACTCCCCAGGTGGCTACTTAAGTATTTGAAAGATTTTTATTGAGATTTATACCAGGAGGTTCATTAATTAGCATAAAGGATGTTAGAAATACATTTTCATTAGTGAAATAAATAGTGTCCCAGATACATGGTTAGCTAAAAAGGTTTCACAACCCTATCACTCTTGTGTGAATGAGTCACAAGAACACCTGACTGGAGTGTAAATTCCATGAGAGCAGGGATTTTATTGCCTGTACTCATACCTAAACGTCCAGTGCTAAGAACAGGGTCTGACACATAGTAGACACTAAATATATCCCACATATGACAAATAAGTTGCTGGAAAGTCCAGCAGCCTCATACCTTCTCAGTCTGTTTTATTTGATTCTTTGTCCACCTCTCCTCGTTGCCTTCTATTCAATTCTTGGAGGCATTTACTACCAGACCTGAACAGAAGTTGGGCTAATACCTGATGTTGCTGCAGCCACCTCCGAGTGAACCTCTCATACGAGGTGCTTATAGGCATGCTTGAGGACAGAGAGTGAGAACCTTTTAAAACTAACATGAGTATGTTATATGACTTTTTCTGCCCACTTGTTAAAACAAGTTACATATTTGGAAGAATTTGGACTAAGTCTCATTTTCCTTGTAATCTACCAACTGATATCAATGTTGGGGGGAGGGTTTGCTTAGCTTCCACCTAGTCCAATCAATGGGTGCTATTGACATTTCCTGAAAGAACCTATCAGTTGCTTAAGACTGAAGTCAAATTGCAATAAATACACAGGAAAGACTGTGAGACAAAAACACATAAAATAGTGCATATTGGTGCCAGTAAAATTAAGGGTCCTCTCTATGTCACGGAGGTACCAGTCTTCTCTGGCAGTACAGAGGGTGGGTCTGAGGGGCTCTCAGCAGAGATCAGAATCAGCAGAGTGGAAGCTATGTACCAGGGAGACCTTGTAGAACAAGAAGGCAGTTGGCTAAGAATGTAGACTTGAAAACCAACATTGAAAAAACAGTGAGATAAGAAGAAACCGTGAAAGACATGAATGATCTAGATAAGCGTGGCATCCCATAAAAATAAAAGAGTAGAGGAGAAAATGCTGCCAAGTGTGCAATGCAGAATTTGGTCTGAGGCTTATTTTCACTGCAATGTGATAGCAAGTTTGTAAGATCAGAACCGACGATCTTCTAGGTTTGGCACTCAATGAGTTTACTGAGAGTAATTTAAAAAAATGTAGGAGGACTGGATATGATTTTGTAGTAGACCGTGTATAGGAAGTAGAAAAGGTGGAAAAAACAAGTATAGTTCCTATTTTTAGCAGTTTGGAGGAATATGGAATCAATATTTTGTAAGAATGGAAAGAGTTCATTATGTTGATGGACTCAAAAGAGGGAGACATTGTGCAGGGTGGGATTAAAGACACAGAAGAGGAACTATAAACTGATGTGTCAAGATGTGAAGTTTTGTTAAGTTCAGTAAAGGCTAAGTTGTCCTACAAAGAAGTAGTGTAAGTGAGATAGAAATTTACTTCTCTGCCATGTCACAGTGTGCACAGCTCTGCACCACACGGTCTTGTACGGAGAGAAGCACTAATACGGAGAGAATGCGGGTCTCGGTCTGCTCTGCACTGCAGAGACTCGTGTTCTCTCCGTATTAGTGCT